CTTTCTCTGGATGTTTTTTTCAGCTCCATTCAGAAGCTAATTCAAACATTCTCGCGTGTTTTCGTCCGGAATTTTCCGATCATAGTTCAAAAGCAAAAAAAAAAAATGCTTTGGTTAACGGCTTTCTCAGTCAAAACACTGCAACGACTACGATGTAATCTGCCCGACATTTCGGCCATAGGTTGTGGCTTTTTCTAAAGGATAATATTGTTTGTCGTTATTGTCAATAATTTAGTCGTTGTTGTGGCTGATTTTCTATATTTCGGTTTCACACGTCACTTTTACTGAGATCTCAGTAAAACCTATTGCCTAGCACTCGGCTGTGCAAATCTCGATAAAAAATGCAGAGAATCGGCAAAAAAAGATTAAGTATGTGCAGAACGGAAAAAACGAAGAACGATAGCCGGTGTGATAAAAAATCATCAAATTTAGCGTTAGCGTTGTTATGATATACTTCGTAGATTGGATACTAGCGACACTCACGTCTCTTCTGAAATTCTCAGTTAGGCTACTTTCAGGAATAATGCTGGGGAGTAAACATTGGTTCCAATCTAAACAAGAGTATGACAGAAGCATGACTGTCGCTATTCCCGGCCACGCCCATCTTAACCATAACTAGGGATAGGGAAGGAAATGTTGATGTAGTACTTACTTAACGAGAGGCCACCGACTTAGCGACACCCTCATAAGTGCTACGGAGTTGGAGGGTTGGGTAGGGTGTTCGGTTAGGATTCACTTCAAGTTGGCGATGTAACCAAAAGTATATACTGTTTATTTGTTGTTTATTTAATCTCTCGATAGCCGACTATCGAACGAAAATATTCATTTTGTTTAGCGATCATGAATTTTAAGAGTCATGACGGAGAGCTTGGGATTAAACCCATGATTTTCTGCTCAGTAAGCAAAAATGATCCCTTCAGGGTCATCGAGCATCTCAGAACCATAACGCGTCGCGACAATACAGGACTACGTTTTCGCTTGATATGCAAATAGTTTCCGAGGTTAATGTTCAATATCAAATATACAAATGATGGTGGTTTTTGATTGTGCTGTGGAAGAGCTTGGGGTTAAATCCATGATTTTCTGCTAAGTAAGCAAAATCGATTCCTCCAGGGTCATCGAGCATCTCATAATCCACAGCGCTTCGTGTCAAAGTACGAATATATGGATGAACCTTCTATTATGAATAACTAATATTTACGATAATTACACGAAAGAAATAAAATATAAACTACAAACAAAACGTGACTACTAGAATTTTAAAAAGATATTCTCACAAATATACTTCACGCAACCAGGAATCTCAAAACCATTAGACGCTATAATGATACTCTGCACATGTTAGACACAAAAAGAGGCCAAAAAGTAAGCGTCCGACACACAAAACCCGCCAGATCCACTTGCAGTCACAATCAACGATTCTATGAATCGCGAGCGCTCACGAATCATAAAACCGCTGACTGAGACACTCTGAAAGCGAAATTGACAGGCTCTATGCGTCAAACACCCGCCCGTCAATCTCCTCCCGCATTCAACAACACTCCATTACAACATCTAACGAATTCAAAACTCCGAAAATCACTCATCTATAGTGAGTGAGTGGAAGCAACCCTGCATGCAACCATTCTTCATGATATACTTTTTTTGCATATCTTTTTATTAGGCCTGTGGACATGCGTTAGCTTCGAAACTTCTAACCAAACTGGGAAAGATTTCAGATCACAAAAAAAAAAAAACTTGAAAAAAAAACTTTTAAAAGTAATATACATGAAAAATAAAATGCTAATGCTAATTGACTGTAACAAAAATAATATGCTTAAATAAAATAAAATATTAATAAAATTATACGCGAAATTTACTAGAAGATCATTACTTTATTAGTGAGCAGTTTCTAATAAGCCGTCCCAGTTCCTCTGTATATAGAACAAATCTGATACTATAATCAGAATTGCTCAGTCTGCATGAAGCAGCCGATTTCATCAAGGAAGTTCTATTAAAAACCAAGAATTAATCGTTTGAGGCATACTGAAGCATAAGAAGGTGATATGTGTCACTATAGGAAATCATCATCGTTGCAAATATAAAGAAATTAAACATAACCCTTTGCTTCAGTCCCGTCAACCTCCATGTCCATGGGGAGGGATAAAAAATCATCAAATTTAACAGCACAAAATCACGACAACGTGAATAACCACAACCACAATTTGAACTAATCAGTATGTTAAGTTATACCATAGGGTAAGTGTGCCACTTATGGCAATAGAGCTCCAGTGTTTGCCCTAGTGACTAGCTCAAATATGAAATAATGTTTTATGGTTTCATTTGCGTAGATATATGGCAAAATCTATTATCTAGCCTTGCATTAAACTAAATTTGGTGAAGAATGGATAAGATTTAAATTTGAGATAGAGTCAATTAAGGAACCACTTGGGCTCAAAACTGGCACGTTTAACATACATGTAATAATAACAGTTGGCTCCACAATCAGGGTCGTAAAATAAAAGGAATTCTTTAGGTGTCTATTTCACCTTAAAATCCCCTGAATTCCTCTTGTAATATTTCATTAACTTCTGGACGTGTCTTGAAATGTTATGAAGGTTCCTTGGGAAACGTCATTTTTTGTGGCGGCTTCAGATTTGCAGTTCAAATACGATAATAATGCTGAAAATCATGTCATTTATTCCAACTTTTGACAACCTTGAAAAACCTGGTTCGATACTCTATTTCGTTTACTGCACATTGTCAACATCTCACCCCGATCGGTAAATTTTGGTATCATATTGAATCAGCAGCACCATGTAGGTTGTCAACGCACCGAATATCTAGAACAAAATAAAAACTGCTTCACCCATCTTAATTGGTACTCTCAAACGTATACCGTCGTAAGAATTCGTAGATCCAGTTCAACAATCCCGCAAGCCGTGTAATATCCATCCTGCTGGAGTAGTTGATGTGAGAACTTCTCTACCTGTAAAATAATTGTTCTAAAATGGTACAGTGATGATACTAACGAAGGATGGCTTACTATTTCTGAGTACTGTGGCCGATCTATTTCACACAAGTTGAGTCCAATTTTCTTCATCTTTGAAATAAGTAATGAATGTTAATCTAGTCCTGAAAACCTATGTGCTAGATAGATCTGTTACTTCATACTTCACCAAATGATTCGGATACAGAATCAGAATTAGTTGCCCCAGCTGCAGAAAGATCCAGCAAACGGTGTAGATGAAATAGGCCACATCTTTGAAGGATATTACGTTGCGGTGACTGAATTGATACACTTCGAGAAACTGTACACTGGACACGACAATCACCGATAGGATGGTATTTAAGAACAGCCATCCGAATGCTTTGCTTACGTCGTACATTAGATGATTGATGAGAAGGGTTTTTTGTTGGAGAAACTCCAGTGTATAGAAGGTGTCATCGACGGTTGTTGCGTGTTGGTTGTTAATGAGTCTCTTGATTGTAGTGTTGGAATGCCTAGTGACCTGATGGATGACGTTCACTACGTAGGTGTACTGCGTCAACGCGATGACTGTAATCCAATTGGGTAAAATGTACGATCCAATGGAAATTAGGCATTTCAGGAAGGTTGAACTGGTGTTGATATCACACACGATTGCTATCGCGAAGAGGATCGCTGCAGAGACCAGGATTGCTTTATGGCGCTCGAGAGGTTTCTGGAGAATGTGGTTGTTTCCAAATAACTCGAATCCACGTAAAAGCTCAATAATTTTGTCGGACTGCAACTGATACTGTGACGACAGGTAGTGACATCCAACGAATATCATTGATATACTGGTGAGTGATGTGAACAGTTCTAAGTTGAACAGAAGTTGTGTGAAGAATTGTAGCTTACTTTGCAAGGTTTCCAGGATTGATCGGTATGCACAATGTAGGTGACAAGCGTATATCAGCACCGTCCAGGATATATGAACGATCTGTACTATGAATCTCTGCGGATTGCTTTTCTGCTTGCGAGGCAATGTGTTAAACTTGTTTAACGGATAGGGAGCAGCTCCGAACAATTGACTTGATATGAGAACTGGTTGGAAGGACTTCCACAACTCATTTCGCGTGTGGTATTGATTTGAGAAAGACATCCTTGTGTACCTCTATTTAAAATCAAGCTCTTGTTGATACTGATGTACGCTTGCAGTGAGGATTTATACTGAGTAGAATCCACAATTTTTTTGAATTATTTATTAGATCGGGTTATCTGATCTGTGTATGTTCTAAAGATCTAAAGATGTGAAAAATGTGATTGTCATTGACATGATATGAAGTTCACGATATACTCAATTGTTGGAGCAAGGTAATTTGCTCTACTTTCCTCATTTGCTAATGACACATTACAGCATTTAATCGTGCCATTGAAATTCCCTACTCACCGTAACGTTAAAATAGGAACCATTCGATGTTTTCCCACACGTGTTTAAAACTGATTTTCACCCATCATGTGTGCGAGCACACCCTCATGAATATTATAAAACAGGTCGTAGACATATGCACTGGAATCCATTCGGTGTTCCACTACTGCTGCTACATATGTACGTGTAGTATGCACCAGATGTTGCTTAAATTGCATGGAAATATTCAACAGCGTTATTATGCTTCTTCTAGGTTTTTTACGCTTCTCTAGCGAACGTTTAGCCGGCTCTCGACTTAGTGTTCTAGATGCACATCCACAGTTATTAATTAAGAGCTTTCTATGACGTAAGAGAAAATTTCCAACCCGAAAGATTTCCTTGACCGGATCGGGAATCGAACCCACCGCCTCCGGCTTGGTAAAAGCGTACTTTTATTGACTCGGCTATCTGAGGCCCCTGAGCGTTATTATGCTGCTAGATTCTACAGCACAATGAGCACGATAATTTTTCCATGGGATTCTTAATGGCGGAATCGGAAGCACATGCGGGGTGGTTTGTCGTATAATTTGATTGAAATTTTATATTTTAGGCAGTATTCACGCAGTTCTAAAGCTTTCACATACTTACCGTTTGATGTAATTGATAGCCTTAGAGCGGTCGAAACGATCCCGGAAGCAAAACGTAGCTGCTGGCATGTTTCCAATCCATCCGCGGTAGTTTTTGTCGAGCTGTGTAACCGTTGGGCTGGCGTAGAAGTGATCCATTTGGTACATTCCGATGAACAAGGCTCCGTACACTGCGCCGGCAATTGTTACTGCCCAAAGGATTCTGTGAAAATTTTTGGGTCATATAAGCTTCACGTTTTTGCTTTCTGAACGGCCTAGACTGAATGAAATTCATAACGATTTTGTGTGGCTAAAATTCATAAGTGGTTTTTATGGAATTCTTACGTTCTTTTGTCTCAGTGTATATATTTCAACACATGGATAATACCCCTACCTTCCTAGCAGCGTATAATCTTACTAAATAGTTACAAATGAAATTAAAATCCAAATACGCCAATCGATAGGAAATATGTAGTTCTACAAATCTGCTGAAATAAATACTTTTCCAATTTTCTTTAAAACAACGTCTAAAAAATGTACAAATAATATCATTTGGGTGCACATCGTTCTGCTTGAACCTTGAAAGTTATAAAACAGCGCTGCTGCCGTGCCACTGTTCATGTGTTTTTTCCCATTCTCTGCTTGAACGTCAAGCAGTACAGTTCGGTTTATGTTCGCTCTGTCGAGTTGTTCGATAAGTGTCTAGTTTGTTCCAAACGTTCGAAGCTGTACTGCGCGTTTATTCGCGTCGTCAGTAGTGCCGGTCGCATCGTGTGATGGGAAGGCAGCGCTTCCGGAGCAGACTCCGTGAGAAAGCGGAAAACAAGAAGAACAGTGGTGTTGGGAATACCACCTCCGTGGACGGTGAAGCAGACGAAGAAGAGGAAGAAACACCAGGGCCAGTCCGATGGTGCGAGTGGACGCGATTTCGGCGACGCCGTGATTTCGGTGACGCAGTCGAAAATGAGAATTCTGCCGGCCCGAGTGCGGCAAAAGTGAAGTGAGTTAAAACTCAGCAGGATCGGCGTGATGCTCCGTACAAAAGCGGAGTATGAAGTGGCCGTGAAATATCTGAAGGATTCCAAGGCGGAATATTTCACGCAAGACATTCCCGGTGAGAAGCCGTTCACGGTAGTCATCAGGCGAGTCATCAAGGGCCTACCAAACTTGGATCCCAAGATGATCGAAGCCGAAATCAAAGACCGCTACCTGCTGGCCCCAATCGCTGTCTTCCGGATGACGGGGAAAGACGAAAACGTGAAGACGTAAACGGATTGTCTTTTCCTAATGCACTTCCAGAAAGGGACGGTGACACTCAATGCGCTGCAAGCCATCCGTTCGATCGACTCCATCATCGTACGGTGGGAGCCATACCGTGCAACTGTAATATCAAACCACGCTGCAGTAACTGCGCTCAAGAACACACCCTCTTCTGACTGCCCTGCGGATGGAGCCGTGGCGTTAAAATGCGCCAAATGTGGTGGTGCTCATCAAGGTTCCGACTGACAGTGCTCCAAACGCGAGGACTTCAAACACATTCGAAAGCAGGCAGCAACCAACAATCAACCAGGACGCAAGAAGGTCAAAACGCCGGCATTCAGGATGGAGGATTTCCCGCCTTCGTGCTCCTGAGCAAAGGCAAGCAAATTCGTGGGTGCAACCTGTCCCCCTCAAGAAGCTTCCGGTGAATCTGCTGGACAATCATCTCCATCCCCCTCTGGATTCTGGAGACAACCAACAGCGCAAAACAACAACCCCGATCTGTTCTCAGCGGATGAACTGATGGAAATCTTCGTCAACATGACCGGTGCTCTTCGTAAGTGCCGCAATAAGCCCGAGCAGATCCAAGTACTCGATAAGTTCATTATCCAGTCCAAACGGCTTACTATCGCTATCTGGGACGCTTGATCTGTAAGAGCAAAACAGATTGAGCTTGCCGACTTCCTCCGCAAGCACAGCATCGACGTGAGTTCTCTAACCGAGACCCACCTAAAGCCTGGTGACACCTTCTGGAAGCCTGACCACAACATTTTCCGGCTTGATTGCACCGCACCAGTACACGAAGGGTGGACGTCCGGTTTATCGCTGTTTACTGCTCACGCCAGTGTACCGAAAGCAACGGGCTAGGAATCCGATTCAAGATTTGATAAAAATTTACTCATTCTAGGGATTCGAGTGATCTTCGCTTTTGCGAGCTTGAGTGAACGGTACTCAAATATCAGTCAGTCTCATTTGCCGAGAAGTTTGTTTTGACGAGAGGATTTACTTCACGCTATTTCTAAACAACTCAAATTTGAGTAGGATCTACTCATATCCGGCGAAAGTAGGGCTACCGAAAATTGAGCTTGAGCTTGAGTTTGAGCTTGATTGAACGCCCACGGTTGTTACTCTGTTACTGCCAGATCAGCTGTAATTACACAGAGAACCAATAGATGATGCTTGGGATTAGCAATCATCCTCAATGTGTAAAAACTGGTGATCTTAAATTAGGCAATACCAGCGCCGGCTGCGCCCGAACACAGGTCAAGAAAGGAATGGGAAGGATTGTGTTGACATGACACTCACTTTGATGGAAGCCGAGAACACCTCTGCACTTCCACGAGGAATCACTGGGATGTTGGATAAGAGGGTTGGGTTTGCAGCAGGGTTCGTTTTGGTAAAAGATAAGCTGAATTGATGTCCTAACCATCATATAACGCGAAGGAGCTAGGGACTAAACCCACGGTCTTCTGCTCAGTAAGCAAAAACGTTTGCCACTAGGCAGAAGAGCACCTTTTTAATCACCGAGTTGCTGTTATTACCATGTCGTAATATTAACAAATAAAACGATTGACGAATCTTAAATGTGGATGGTCCTGAGATTAGACTCATGATGTTCTCCTCAGTAAGCAAAAAGGGTTGTTCTAAGGCCACCGAGCCCCTCATATCACATAATACCGTTGCTCAAATTTGTGTATCCATTCAAACCCGGAACCAACGACAACAACGAGTTTCGCAAAATACACGATACACAAGCGATTTTACCATAAATCTCTTTGATATGTAAGGACCTGGGACCGCGTTTTTCTGCTCAGTAAGCAGGCCACTGTAACCGACGATCTTTCAAATCCGAAAACTAAAAACTACGAAAAAGTACTTAGGCCTTCATTAAGTTCCACTTTCACGCGACGTTCAATGACAGGGTCCTATCCATGATTACATCTGAAAAATCCAAATCTGGCCAACGCCCACCCTAAACCTAAACCTGTTCTTATCCACCTGAAATGACTAACGAATGGAAGACTTTGACTACCCAGCCATGCAATAGTCTCATTCCGTGCCTTATGGCAACTTGATGATTCTATTGCGCTCATCTTTTGGCACCACCCAGGGGAGACTTGGTCCTGTACCCAATGCTTAACTTATCTCCATTCCACTCAGCTACTCGCAATTTCTAGTGATATAGTGGGCGGAATATTATTATTCAATTCAATGCAGACGTCTTTCCAAATTTGGCAGATCGACAGGTAATCGGTGAGTTACCACGATAGTTGCTATTCAACAACTCGACAACGTCCCATCGTCAACGCCTGCTATGAGAATTTCCCATTGCAGACGCCAACGAAATGACGTCATCGAGCTATCGATCAACTACCCTGGTTATCGCCTGGTACCTTATAGAACGATGCTAGGAGGCGAACCGGAAGAATCGATGAGCTACCTCTCCCCCCGAAAGTAGGGCTACCGAAAATTGAGCAAACAAAGTTGCAACTAAGATGACACAAATGAACAACACCGTTCGGATTCAGGTGGATGTTTTCCATTTGTCATCTTGTTAGTCTAAACTATGTTTACTCAATTTGGTGTACTCTACTTTGGACAAATATGAGTAAATCCTTCACATAGTTGCGTTGTTTAGAAATAGCGTGCGTACCGTGTTGGCCCTTTCTTTCACGCAAAGATAAACATTTTGCTTACAGGATTTTTCAGTGGCCTGAAAGGATAAGCAACGATCCGCTATGTTTCACGAAATTGGACATTTGCTTATGGGGTTTCCTATAAGAGTGAACAGTTGCAGAGTCGTCGACGTGCTGTGCTGTGGTTGTGGGTAGTCGCGAATAGTCGACGACTACTTAGCTGCAAACCGAAAAAAATGTTTACAAAATAGGTAAAATACAGCAATCCAATTAGAGCAACATCTCACCGCCCCAAATTACATAAGAAAAAACTAGCGTCTGATATACATGTTCAAGTAAGTTTAAAAATCAGTAAATTTGAAATGGCAAGCGTCCCTGGTAGACAAGTTCAGAGAAAAAATATTTAAATCGTTAATTAGAAATGTGTTTCAGCCCTGATAAACATGTTTTGAAAAACATTTAAAAAGAATATATTTGATATGTCTTGCGCCCCTAGTAAGCATGTGGTAAATTATTAAAACAGTTCAATTTAAAGAAGATAGCGCCCCTATATACGTGTTCAGCAAAAAATTTAAAGAAAACGTAAATCTGGAAAATCTTAAAAAATATAAAATTTGAAATAGCTAGCGCCCCAGGTAGACAAGTTGCGGAAAAAGTTTTTAATTTTAAATGGTTTGCGCCCCTGATAAAAATATTACGGAAACAAATGGTACAATTGAAGTGGCCTGTGCCCCTGACCGGGATATAAAAGTTAAATAATACCACTGAACTGTTAAAAAATTCATCTGATTAAGGTTAACCACTAACGGTGCAAATCCTGATTGGCGGACAAAAGTTGGCGCACTTAGTGGCATAAGATAGAGTTTTTGACATGATGGTGCTTTCAAAATTCTTTAACGGCGAGGTATGGGAGAGTAGTTTGGAATCATATAAAAAAGAGCGACATCACTTCAGAAAGTACTGAATCACTAGAGAATAGTTCGGAATTACTTCGAAAAGTACTGAATCACTTAAGAAAATAATTGAATCATTTCATAAACATTCGGAATCACTTCGGAAAGTACTGAATCATTTCAGAGAGCGCTGAATAACTAATGAAAAGTTCAAAATCACTTCAGAAAAGTTTGGACTCATGTCGGAAGTGATTAATCACTTCAGAAATGTTTTCAATCACTTCGGAAACTACTGAATCACTTAGGAATGTAGTGTATCGCTTAAGAAATGTTCGGAATCACTTTTGAACGTACTGAATCGATTCAGAACAGTTTAGAAAGTCCTGAATCATTTCAGAAATGTTGAGAATCACTTCACAAAGTACTGAATAACT